GTATTTGGGGAGATCGACGGCGCATTTGGAGTATGCATTTGAAGCACACTTCGAATTGGGACAGCCGTCGTCACGTGGCGGTGACGTAACCGCACTTGGAATGCGTACTTCAAGCGTGCAGACTCTTAATTGGGACACAGCCAGTCCGCAGACTCCGAGATCGCAGCCTACGTGATGACGTCACAGCTCAGCTGCAGTGTTTATTTATGGCCTTTACCTCCTTTACTGTCACTGTGATTAGTATTTACACAGCAGAGACCTGCAGAGCGCTAACGCTAAGCTAATGATAAGAGCTCTTAAAGACACGAGGGAAATAAACATTATTAAAAGGAAATATAGATTTTGAGCACTTCAACAAAAAAAAATCTCTTCAGCTCAAACTGAGGAGACAAAATAGTCCAAATGTGGATTAAACATTTGATTCATACGTCTCCAGCAATAAAGTCAGAGCTTTAAGTTCATCCTTGTTTCCTCAGACTGTTTGAATTCATTGTGTCAGAGAAACTTTAGACTATTCAGCAGAGCTGATGTGGAGCTGAGATCTGCATCAACATGAATGTTACATGTACAGAGTTAACATGTTAAACTACGACAGTCACAGAAATCATGTGTGAACATCATGTGATCTTAAAGTGTTTGCATGGCCATAAAAGAGCTTTTAATATAGTTTTATACGGAGGTTGGAGTTTGCAGAGAGCTGACTGCATCTGACTCAGAGATGTTCCTAATGTTCTGCAGGTAAGATCAGGTGTCTGTGATCCCTGATGTGGACCATGCGACCTGGTTTTTAGGTTACATGACAGGTCAGAGGTCAGCGACTGTAATTCAGTTACTTCTGTTAATGTGAACTCACTGAGTGTTTGTGGTTTACCTCTCAGACTGACTGAAGTCCGCAAGAAGATGATGATGGAGGAAGAGGAGAACAGAGCAGAGTCTGCAGGAGCCAGCTGTCCATCTATGAGGAGTGACCGGTCCAAACCTCAACCTCCAGACTTCAGTGCTGAACCTGGACAAACTAGGTCAGAGACCTGTCATGAGCTTCTTTAGATGTTTGTGTTTTCCTGGATAAATATGACCTGAAACATCCTTAGATTTTTACAAAGATTCATTAAAAAGAAAACAATGAAACAACAAAGGTAAAAATATTAGACTCAGTCGTTTGCTGTTTGAGGACAGTGATGCTCATATCTCTGGGGAAAGTGTGTACTGAGTGGGTTCATGTTTGTCTTTAAAGAACAGAGCTGCTCTGTCTCTGATTCTCTTTGTGTCTGATCTGTTAAACAGTCTGAGAGGTCACA